AGTCTATTTCAATAAAATTTTCCAAAAAATATTTAATGTACAGATTTGGCTTAGTTACAATTTTATTAAATGTATATATATGTAGATAGTTGTAGTTATGTGTAATTCAATAGCTTACCAACAATTAGACATATCAGCCATCGCAGATGTTTAAAGTCAGTACACTGGCAGTTTGTATCTGAGAGTCGTTAAACATAGATAGTATTCGATATTGGACTGCATATTTCTTATTAATCCTAGGAAATTTGATACGAACATAATCATATAATGTAATCAAAACGTCTTCTATCATTGTTACATTTTTTTTATATTTTTATTTTCTTTTATATCATTTTCTTTTATATCATTTTTAGTGTTTTAAAAAGGTTTTAAATCTTTTTAGGTTCACGCAAAGAACGTTAAATATATACTTAATGACGGCAATGAAATACCAGCAATAGCTCTAGGGACTTGCTTGGGTTATCTAGCTGACGTAATTTCTACCTTATTTGTATGTTTTTTCTTATTCAGCTTTAATTTTGTTTTTGGTTTAATATTAATTAATATTTTTTACATATTATCAATGTTTTTTTTTAATAATTATATATTTTTTATTTATATTCTTAGTGGCGTGCCATAGGAGAGGCCTATGTCCAGCAGTGGACGAAAGCAGGCTGAATATGATGATGATGATATATTTTTTTATCTATTTTATACTAGCGACGTACCCTCGCATCGCTCAGATACATCCCTAAATCACATGTTTGAATGGTTTAAGAACGTATAGAGGACAAACGTACGAAAGACCAATTTTATATATATATATATATATATATATATATATATATATATATATATATATAACTTTCCTAAGCGTTAATTTGTAAAAACTGAGGAGTAAAATAAGTACCTAATAATTATTATAAGTAGATAGTAATTTTTAATTTTACTGTCGTATCGTTCGACACTAATCATTTATTGATTTGCCTTGCTTTGTTTAAGCATATTGATTCTTTTGGGTTATAAAGGGCTTTTGGGTAACAAAGTACTCTACCCACTGTTCTAAATTGAATCTGATACCAAGCTCGAGTTTAACATATTATAATATCAAATTTAACTAGCATACCTATACAAATTACGTTACTATCATTAATTTGCCTGAGTTGCTATTAGACATAATATAATGAAAAGGCAGATTATACTTAGATTGGACTTTTATATTTAAAAAAATCACATAATATCCAACGGTAGCCATTTTATAAAAATAATACAGTAGGAATTACGTTTTTTTTTTTGCAGTTCGTAATGGGATATTTGCAGCTCATAATGGGATATTCAGATCGCAATACTATATAAACTTTTTACAAGCTTGTTAGTAACTAATGAATCATAGTATTAAAATTAGCTAGATTGAACATGTTTTATTGCATGTTATATGGTTAACTGGTTTTTCTATGAACCTACATCGCTTCTCTAAATACGACCATTTATGTACGGCGAAGTATAAAAGTATATAAGTATATAATAATACTATGAAATAGAATAAAGAATCAAATTGAATTAATACGTGATGCTAAAAATAATATCAAAATCTGTTCTGGAAAGTACTTACCTACACCACGATTAATCTCTACCAGGCTGCATATTTTCTATACCTAGTAAGAAAACAGAGCCTGGGTCGATGACATATGCATTATATTTTAATATTTCGACTACATAGGGATTGCAGCTAGCATTCTTGCAACAATTCACAATTATTCTTGCAACATACAAATTAAGTGTACATATGTACATAAATTGTTTTGAATATATTAGTAATTTTGCTCTATTTTTTTTAACTTCACTATATAATATATTTTTAAATAAAAAACTAAATCTACTAATATTACCTATAAAATGATACATTTGGAAAAGGCTTGCTTGTTTGTTATTCGAAAATTAAGCGCCATTTAAGCAACGGTATGAATACACTTAATAAGTCGGTAAGTAATGCCTTTTACATAAAAGTTAAATTGATATGTTTCTGTGGAATATAAGCCTGTTTCAAACGGACTCAATTAAACGAAGCAAGTATCATAAAGAGAAAATAATAAGTAAATCTAACGCTAAAAGTCTATTTTATATCACTGTATTTGATACATACTTGTACTTAAGTGCTACATAGGGTACAAGAGTGTTGCCAGTGAACCACTCACTAGCTCGTGTAGTACAATGGGCGCTGGAGGCTGGTTACAGGCACATCGACACCGCCACGTTGTACCGCGTCGAGGACGAGGTCGGGCTCGGTGTACACAACTATATAACCGACAACAAAGCTGACAGACAAAATAGTAAGACCATTTGATTGAAATTATGTTCATAAAATTTTAATTTAAGCAAACAATATTTAAAACTAAACAAGGCAAAAGTAATGTTAGAACGTCATCTTCAAAACAGTTGTTGAATATGATTATATTACACATATTATATACTGGCGGCTTACCCTCGCTCCACTCCTTAGGAGTCTTTTGCATTTTGTATGTGGCCACCTTTTAACAAATTTTATTACAAACAGTACTCGTAATCTATGTGTTCATCCAGTTCATATTTTATTTTTGTACTAAGTGGCATTCAAACCGTCAAAACGTTTAAGCGTCAAGAAGTAACATAGTCACACACGCACACTTACAAACTTACAAAACTTCTCCATTTGTAAAAATGGAGTGATGTAACTTTTTTGATAAAAATATCTAATTTTTTGAATAAATATCGATTAATGTAATCGTTTTTTCTTGTTTTTTTTTTGTATGAAGATATCTTATATGTGCCGTGAAAATGCCTGTTAAAAGCAACACCATATCCTGATAGCTTAAGTTTCATCCATAAAACCTTTATTTTCTCAAAGAAGCGTTACGTTTTTATGAAACGTCTTACGCGTAAAATCAAATATTGTTGTTATCTTGTTCCTGTTATGTTACGGAGCGGAAAAGTGATCTTTGTATGTAAGTATTAATATACACATGTATACACGTATTCTTCCTTAAATATTAGATTTTCTTTTCACGGCATCTGAAAGGAAAATTAGCTACTTTTCCGCAGTATATCGCATGTTCGTTGTTAAATCAATTTTGTTACATCGAGAATGGCACGAAAATCGTTTATTTTTTATATAATAAAAATATGTAGCTTCATGTTTAAGGAAAACAGGCTTTAACAGATTCAAGAGTTGCTTTTTTGGTCGATTATTTCTCCAAAAGGCCGGATGTCTGTAACCTACAATATTTAATACCGTGCTTTCGATTAAGTCATCAAATGATATATTCAGATAATATTTGTAGGAATGAGTGAAATATTATCTGCTTTAAGAACGTAGGTTGAGTTAGATTAAGTTTTTAGATTTTTTTTCATTCAAGACGGTAAGTCCCCCGCGTAAGCGTAGTAAGTACGCTTTAATAAACTTTTAATAGTTTACTTTTTTCGTTATTACAAACTTTTTGTCAAACTTTTGTATTTCCTTAATTTGTTAATAGTAAGACTTCATATTTTTCTATACATTTATTTGTTTCGTATTTCATAAACACCGACTTACGTCTTGCGATGCGTCCGTCTAAGGCTGGACTGGCTTCCCCCCCAACGTGCGTTCACCTTGTCGTGGTGGGGGGGCTCAGTAGTGCCCGGCAACCCAACCGGGCGCGAAGCCAAGAAACGCACAGGGAGGTGGCCCACTTTGGTGGGCGGTGGGAGGTGGCCCTCTTCGGAGGGCGGTGTACCATGCGGGTTGCTCCTGGTACTTCTCTGATAGCAGAGTGGACTGTGGAGCAACCCCGTGGTTGTTGTGGTCTGCTTCGGCAGACCTGCCGTCGGGGCGTCGTAGTTGAATGCGTAAGCGATCCTGCGACGCCCCATTAAGACGGGGGAAGGCTTTGTTGGGTTTTAGTGGGTAGTACTGGCTTCGCCGGTGAGTCCCACACCTCGTGCGTAAATGCATTTCCCAACATTAAAAAAAAAAAAAAAAAAGGCTGGACTGGCTTGACCACCACCCTTAAATGCTACTTTTTTTTTGAAATATAATATTTTGCCTTTTTAATATATTGTTATGTTCAATGAGTTCGGGGATCTGAAATTAAAGCACGTCTTTTGGACTATAGATGTTTTATTACTCCTGATTAACAAGAGTGACTTTTGGAGATTCACTATCACACGCAGTATACGAGTATAGACAGTTCTGGGTAAAATCAGTCACTGGACACAAATTTTCACCACTAGATACACTTCCACTATAGCTTCATTTAATTTTTCTTCACTTTTCACTTTTTTTCGTACTTCTTCGCAATCTACACATAACATCGAAATTCAACTGATCTCTCGACACACTGCCGGCCTTATTATATGTATAAACAAAGACCATTCTAGTATTCGAAAATTCGAATCCGTGACCATGGATGCTGTCAAGCATTCGAAACGTCGGGAAACAAAAATGCAAATAAATCCGCGACAAAATCCGAAAAGATAGTTTTATTTAAAATGTCAAATATTCGCGTAAATCTAAGAAAGTATTACGTTTCGAATTTTTTGTTTCTCTCTCTCTTACACACGGCAATTTACAATTAACTGTTCTTATCTAAATTCAAAGCTTCTGGTAATTTCGATGCCTCTCTCGAAATGTTTTGACAACTGTCTTAGGTTGCATAAAGCATGCTCCACACGTGTCTTTTTTAAATTATTATTTTTGGTATAATGACGTTACTCCATTACGCGACAATATTTAAAAAATAATAATTTTCAAATTAATCGGGTACAGATAAAACGATATATGTTAATATAGACTTTAAACTATCTCCATTTCGAATTTCACCAAAACCTGTTGTGCCATTATAATGTGTAGATGTGGTACACGCATTAGCTCACAAACTTTCACACAGTAGTAAAATTAGTCTGATAAAGTGATTCATTGCTGTTCTTTTTGCATTTAGCTCTGAAATGATGCGCATGAACGAGGCAAAGTAATACCGGCTCTTAGGCAGTCGCTGCAAGAATTGCAGATGGATTACGTTGATCTGTATTTAATGCACTACCCGATGGCGTATACGGTGAGTTATATTATTGAAGTGCAGTTTTCATTCGTTCTAGCTTAGAAATCTTAGCAGTGAAATAGAGGTTTTAAATAAAAATCTAAAGTACATGTGTATCATAGACAATATTTTAATTATTTTTTGTTATTGAATATTTGGGAGTGTCCCAAGTTTGTTTATCTGTTAGTTTGAATTTTTATGTTACATATAATATAGAATTCATTGTGACGATAAGTAGGTGAAATATGTTAGTATGTTAGGTGGTTGTGAACAAGTGAACAAACAGGCTTAAGCTCGTGTTAAATATATTGGATATATTCAAAATATAATATGTAATAATAATGTTTATTGTAAAGATACAAAACCCAATTTATAGTGTAATAACATATATGTAGTTATCACAAGTCAATTTCTTTCCATCACTTATGCATATAACATGTCAAAACAAAACATAAAAACAAAATTCAGTGAAACTCTTTATAAGAATAAACTAAGATTGCTCATAGAAGTTTTATATTATAATAAACTGTATTTATATTTGTGGGAAACATTCAATTGTAATAAATGTAATACAAACTTTAGAATTTTTGCGCTAACTTATTTGTTTACTAGCAGAAACTACATAAAAACTCTAAAAAGGTTTCATACAATTTCATGCCTTATTTTACCCCCTTATGGGATGAATTTCGAAAAATGCCTTAACACGTATTTTTTTAATTTTACTAGAGCATTCATACCAAGTTTCAAGTAATTCTGATCATATATATTTTTTGGGTTGTGTTATACCGTGTTTTCCCATGGGAATGAGATAATCTCTCGCGGTAAATAGTAGCTTATGTCACTGTGCAGCCCTTCAACTATCTCCACACAAAAAATCATGCCAATCCGTCGTTCCGTTTCCACGTGCAAGAAGGACAAACAAACAAACAAACAAACACACTTTCACATTTATAATATTAAGTATGGATATTGTGCGATATAATAAAGACGTACATAATTTATGTCCTATTTATGCGGTTAAATTGAAAAGTAATTTCGTTTGTGTTTGAATAACATCAAAGATAAACAACTCTACGCGGGCGTATTAAACTTCGTAAGAGAGCTTTTGATTACAATTATGTACTTTGAATCAATCAGTAAATATAGAACTTGGTTCAAGCTGACATTGTACTCAAACAATATATTTATCTTATTATATGTTATTTCGAGATATTGTTAAACGTGTCCGTGTTTTAAAATAAGTTTTTTGTACAAATTGTCTAATATACCTACCCTGGGATAGATACCATCTGATTGAGACTCGGTTCTGACGGCAATTTATCGCAAGATTTTTACAGTATTCAATTAAAAACCTCGAAACAACGAGATATTAATACGATACATACGTATGAAAAATAAAAAGTCGCAATTTTGCTTACAGCAATCAGGCCTGTAGACAAATTAAAGTATACCTAAATAAAAAATAAAAAAGTATTAATGAAAATGGCGGCAGTTTAGTTTTGGAGGTACGGTATGATAAACGGTTAAAGAGACGCACACACACGTAACAGTCTTATGTATATTTTGAAGTTTTATCATTATATATTTAAGCAGATATTAATCAATGATGCCTAAAGAGAAATAATCTAAAATAGAAACTTAATTAAGATTTATTTAAAAGTTTAAGCTGAACGTACGAACTTTTTAATTTAAGTATGGTGAAATTCTAGCAAAGTTTTATAATTAACCTTTTCAATTCGCTTCAGTGACAGCATGTTCTTGGCAAGTATTAACTTAGTACTTTGCATTTATCTAGAATGATGGCCAGATTAGTAATACGGATTACTTGGTGACTTGGGAAGGCTTACAGGACGCTAAGGAGCATAACCTCACGCGATCGATTGGCGTTTCGAATTTCAACCTTACACAAATGCAGAGATTGTGGGATAATGCCAGGATAAAACCAGCAGTTTTACAAATCGAGGTACGAACTAAATTTATTATTACTTAAAGTAGCTTAAGAATGTTAAGTTAGCTCTTAAATTACATATACATTGTACAATTTACTTATTTCAAAGTTATATAAGATTTAGTTTTAGATGCTTTGCATATTATGTCGACTTCATAGTTAAATAAATAAATACGCATAATACTTTCTTAGATTAACGCGAATATTTGACATTTTAAATATAAACTATCTTTTCGGATTTTTTTGCGAATTTATTTTGATTTTTGGTTCCCGACGTTTCGAATGCTTTACAGCATCCATGGTCACGGGAGAGACAGATATCAGTCTCTCCAGTTTATTTAAAATAAATAAGCAGTTATTTTAAGCGGTTATATCTTAAGATAATTTTCAATATTGTATTTTTTATATCTTTATATTATTTATATTTTGTGGTAAATAGTTCGTTTAAATTATATTCATTTAATACAAAACTACAACAACAGTAACGATGTTTTAGCAAAATAAAAATTTTGATCTACTTTTTGACAATACATCATTGAATGCCTCTATAAAATTGTAGCCTGCTTGTCTTCGAGAATTTGAACAGGTTACTTATTTGACGTTGATGATCGCTGGTTCGAATCCTGAACGGGATAATTATTGAATATAAAAACTTTTCTCAAAATTTCAACAAGAAAGAGCGCAGCGTATAATTAATTAATAAAATATAATATTATTTACATAAATCTATTTAATTCTGGAATAGTATAGAATGAAAGCAGTGGTAGCCCAGTGGTAACGGCTCGCTTGGGAAACTGAGTGAAGCGGGTTCGAATCCCGGGTCTCGCACCTCTGATATTTTCACGTGCGAATCATTCCTAACACGACTACCTTAGCCTTACGGTGAAGGAAAACATCCCGAGTAAACCTGCATGTCTGAGAGAACCTAGCAAGTTTTCGAAAGACGACAGTGGTAGTGGTACAGTGTGGTCGACTATGGCCTGATCCACCTCGTATTGAAGGAGGCCCGTGCCCAGCAGTGGGACGTTAAAAACGGCTGAATACATACATATACAGAATGAAAGAAGGTTCAAAGAAGCTCTTTAGGTTTTACAAATATATATCTTTGCTTAGGCAAATCCCACAATAACTAACGATGAACTGGTCAAATGGTGCAACGAACACAAAGTTATCGTAATGGCGTATTCACCTTTTGGAGCAATACTTGGGCGCAAAAGCGATGGGCCTCCTCCTCGAGCAAACCATTTAGTCCTAGTAAATTTGGCAGCAAAATATCACAAGACTGTGCCACAGATACTACTTAGATATTTAGTAAGTAAATTTATGTATGCTTATGAAATTTAGTATTTTAACTGATTATTATTCAACATTGAAAATTGTTGGGTGTGAGTGTCTTAGCTTAGTGTAACAAAAAAATTAAAAAGATACAATAAATTTAAATTTGCGCATTCGGGTGATAATCTCAAAAATATTGTTTAGATTTTAGTTTTATTCATATCATATTATTTAGTATATTCATAGAAAATAGTTATAGGTTTAGAATGAATGTAGGTGTCTTATATTAGAACACTGGCTATGGTTTATTCAAAGGACATAGGAAAATGGCGGCGGCAGGTCACATAGGAAAATTATGCGCAACTATCGAGTCTTTTCATCAGTAACTATGGTGAAAACTAAAGAAAAAGTAAATTTAATTATTGAGGTTGTTAAATCTGTATTACGCCGGTGAGTCCCACACGTCGTGCGTAAATGCATTTCCCAACGTTAAAAAAAAAAAAATGGTAAATTAATCTTACATAAATATTTGCAATACATACGCGTATGTTAAATATAAATATTTGCACGTTAATAACTACTAGACGTAAACCGTCAAAGTATTATGAAATTTTTACTTGTTTCTTTTAATTTGAAATAATGAAATTTCATGTTTTTTTTTTAATAAAGTTGGTACCCCTGACATTTTAGTTGGATCGTAATTTAGTTGCCATACTACGGTCCACTAACAAGGAGCGGATCAAGCAGAACATCGATATTATAGACTTTTCACTTACACCGGAGGAAGTTGAGGAGCTATCGAGATTTAACAGCAATTACCGACTCAGAACACCCGCTAAGTGGTACCCTCACCCCCATTTCCCATTCGAAAAAAAGAACCTTACAGCTAAAGAAATAGAGTACATAATAGTTTATAGCAAAGAAGATTAAAAGCGAAATGTTTGGAAGTCGTCTTTGAAATTTTCAAGAATATGACGGATAAAAAGATTTTTCGGCTGATGGATTAACTGCAAAGATCCATTAAGGATCTCTTGATATTCAATATTGGATATGGCAAAGCTTTTAATTATAATATTACAAAGAACTGTATATATTGTGTATCAATGAAATAAACTAACAAAAATTAGACATTATTTTTATTTAAGCACAAGTTTTGGCCCCAGCTCCTTTTGCATGGTAAGCGGGATGTTGAATTAGGGTAAGGTAAAACTTAAAATATATGTTCGTCCCTATAATAAAATCTATATTCTGGCAAAATTTCATCGAAATACGTTCAGCGGTTTAAGCTTTTATATTTTCAATATAAATGTTAATTAGCTCCCTATAATAAAAATATACAATAATAAAAATATAATAAAAATATAATTCGTTATTTAAGAAATTTTCTTCGTATATAAAAAAAAAACTAACTGTTGTCAATAGTTATTAAACAAAAAATAAATGAACAAAAGAAAATCAGTTAACAAACAGAGAACAAAAAGGCACTGAACTGGTTTGTTGTTGCTTATTTATATATATACATAGACTGTCATTGCCCGTGGCTCCGCCCGCGTCCAGATGACCGAAAACCAAATTCTTAGGTTTTACATATTAGCAAACTCTTACAATGCAGTTTTTGTATTTTTTCTCAGAAATGAAATATTTTCCCGCGGTAAAAAGTATCCTATATGTTGACCCGGATAACCAGCTATCATCATACCAAATTTCATCAAAATCCCTCCAGTGGTTTTTCCGTGATGCGGTAACAGACAGACAGACAGACAAAAATTCTAAAAACTATAAAATCGGACTCTGTATCGATAATAATGTCTTTTTCAATTAGATTTTCCAAAAAATATTTAATGTACAGATTCGACTTAGTTACAATTTTATTATATGTATAGATATACTTAAATATTTTAAGGGCAACTTGCACAAGTTCTTGATTAGTTCTAAATATCTTAAGCATATTTAACAAACCTCAAACAGACAAAGACGTTTTCTAAACATATTTTATAAATTGTGATGAAATTAAGTATTTATGGTGCAAGTGGCCCTTAATTTTGTTTTATAACAGCTTAGAGACAATCTTATTAAGCTTAGCGAGCTTTTGTTCTTGATCATATTAAATGAAGTAAATCGTTATTGATGTAATCATTCTCGGTAAATTATTTAATTTTGCTTTAAGGCAATATATTTAGCAGTATTTATTTATTTAAAGTAATAAATTTCAAATCAATTACGTTCATTCAGTATAAGGCAATGGAAGCGAAATGGTATGGGCTTGCTTAGGAAACCGAGTGAAGCGGGTCAAATCCCGGATGTCGCTCCTCTGGTATTTTCTTGAGTGAATCATTTCTAACATGATTATCAGTCGTCTTACGGTGAAAGAAAATATCTTGAGCAAAATTTGCATGTCTGAAAAAACCTAGTAAGTTTTTGAAAGACATGTGAAGTCCGCCAACAAGTACTTGGCTTGCGTGAACTATGGCCATATCCCCCTTGTAATAGAGGAACGCTCGTGCCCAGCAGTGGTACGTTAAATAAGGGTTGAATACTTACATATGTACGTTCATGATAAAGTTATGATTTAAATAAATTGTTAACGAACACTTAAATCTTATATCTTTAAACAAGCTATTCTTGTATATATGTATATATAATCTGAATCTCGGAAACGGTTCCAAAGATTTTGATTTTGGCGTTAAATCGATTTAGATTAGTCTTATGTCTGAGAAAACGCGTGTTTTCGAATTTTCATCCGGTTTTCTTTCGCATTATTCCACGCAAAATATGATCGATAATTTCTCACGCTCGGGCATAAGAATCATAGTCAAGTGGCTAAGGCGCTAGAATGACAATCATAGGTGTCCGGGTTCGAATCCCGGTCGGATACAAAGATAAAATTTGTTTTTGTTTTTTTTTGTATTTATTCAAGTTTTTAGTTATTTTTAAAAGAAAATTGTACTTTTGACCAAAAATTCCGAGCGAAGCTTGGTGGCCCAAGTACTGTTTATTTAAATTACGATAGAAAGTTTCAAAATCTTCGCAGTTTTAAAACATGAATAAAACCAAAAAATATATATTTTCAAACTCTTTTCTGAAGTAAAATACGAATATATTAAAGTAAGCTTTTAAATTCATGTCCCTGGTATGTTAGATAACTATCTTCATATGACAACTGCTTGTCTTTAGCCCCGAGGCGACTGTGAATGTGAATTGTGGCTATGTAGAATTAGAATTATTCAAGATATTTTATTACAAGTAATTCAATTCCAGATAAAAGAAATATATTATAGTAAAATATGAATGAATAGTAAGTAAATATAGTCTTAAAAAAACAACCTCGTAATATAAAATAATAGCACCGGGGACTGATTTATTAGTTAAAATTATGAGAGTGAAGTACTCTTGTGTTGTGTAGTGAAGTAGGAAGTTCACTTGTGTTTAACATATATATATATATTTATGTGTTCTCCTGACCGATTCCGGCCACGGCGGCCAATCTCATTGAGACTAGCCAACTGCGCAGGAGATATTATAGTGCACAAGTGTACGCGCAGACACAAGTGCACTCTCTATTCCTGTCACTCTCATACTCTGGTGGGACGACCACTCAACACGACCAGTGAGAGTTAAGGCGCAGGACTTTACGTGCTCTCCGAGGCACGGGGGTGAAACACCGCCAACTTCCCAACTCCGGGCTGTTACTGAGGCTTACTATACAGAAAGACTCAATAACTGAACTTGGCCCGACCCGGGACTTGAACCCAGGATCTCCGGGTGTGCAGCCGTATATGCTAGCCACTACACCACCGAGGCAGTTTTGGCATTTATACACTACATAATTATATTACCAATCTTAGTAAAATTACCGGTAGTGACCAAAAATCGTTCAGGAGGACATAAATGGGCAAAATTGTCTTATGAGAAATATCGGGAAGAAACTAACATATCTAGTATCAGTTTCAATATTATATTATACTGAGGAGGGTTCGTATAAAAGCAGACAAAACAGTCATATTCTTATTTAATACTAGCGACTCATTCGCGCTTCGCTCGAGATCGTCCCTTATAGCTTGCTTTCCGGTACAAACTTTCATCCCCATTTTTATACTCTTAAGGGATGATTTCCGGGATAAAAAGTCTTTGGCCTTCCCGGGGTCTCAAACTATATGCTTACCCAATTTCATCTAAATCGGTTCAGTAGAACCAGAGATTACCCCCTACAACGTCACAAACTCACAAAATCACAAATTCACAAACTTTACCTCTTTATAATATTAGTATAGACAGATGGGCCAATATTATCATTGTGTCGAATTTGAATATTTAAATAAAATAACTCAGCTTTTCTAAAACGATAAAATGAATATTGTTTCTAAATTTATTTTCTACGAGTAATACACTTACTGGCTTACAAGGATACCAATATCTATTTATTTTTGTTATGAGATTAGACCACTACTATATTCTATATACTCGGATTATTGAGAAATGCTAGACGTTTTACTGTCTTCATATAAAAAAAAAACATTTTAGTAAGCTTCTATACATCGTGGAATTGAACAATCTGAAGTTTTTCAAACGTACGCATCTAGTCCAAGTAAAAATTATTTATAAAATATTAACAAAATACGAATTTTTGTTCTTACATAAAGATACACGGAATTTAAAATTTTTACACTTGTGTATTCTTTCAAATTATATAGAGCCTACTCGAGGTATAACCTATTCAAGAATCATGAAAATCGATTTACAATTGGCGTACATATCACGGAATACACACAACAACTATAGCGTGATACCCTACCTTCCTTTTGTCGGTAAAATAGTGGACTTTTCCTATGGAGACGATTTTATCATACTTACGATTAATAATAATTAATATTTAATGTAAGATTGAAATTTTAAGAACATTTAGGTTTAAATAATATATATTATATTTATTATTTTAAATTTTCCACTAATTTGAAAAAGTATACACTTTTATTATTATATTTAATATTGGTTCTATAGATCAAATATATGCATTTTACATTGTATTTTATCCTGAAACGTTTGTGTAAAACCATTTAGATAAACAGCAGGTATTTTGTTTGTACAATGTACACAGTACTGATTCACATACTCGTATTGCAAAAGTGCGCGTAATATTTAACTTATACGAGTATTTTTGCTAATTACTATTTTCCAATTGTAAATTTTAAAAAATTTACAAAAAATAAATTGTAAAGGTCCTATTGTTCATAGCACATTGCAAAAAGACATAATATCAACTTTTTTAAGGTATATACTTTTGAATTAAGCATTAGTCTAATACCTATAATGGAAACTTGTAGTAAATATTTTAAAAGAATTATCAACATTTTTATATAATAATCATAATCACATAGTTAAAATTTTAGCTGTAAATATTTGTATAAAACTAATTTGTAATAGCTATAAAGTTAGAAACATGTGAAATGTAGCTTGTAAAAAGGTCAAGGTTACAATAGGTCGATAAAATCGGTTTTCAATATATCACAATAGATATACGCAGACGTGGGCCCGAAAATTTGTTGAATTTATTCATATTCATGCTAATATATCATGAAGCAATGTTTTTTTTTATCGAAACTAAAATGAATTACGAGTTTAAACGGGTATACATCTGTTGTTCTCTTTGAGCAGTAATTACGATTATAAATTTAGTGTTATGGCTATCCATACGCATTTATATTATTGTTCTCTTTAAAATTGGTTTGTGGCAAATCTCACTGAGACCAGCTTTCTTGGCGATTGGTAGAGCAGGTGAAAGATCAGTCGCAGAACCGGTGATTTTACGTACGTAGGTACTGGATTGTAACACAGCCGATATTGGATCCCGGCCTGGTACTGATGGCTAATTTGATGACAGAAAAAAAACCAATAGGTAATTTCTTGCCCGATCTGGGACTTAAACTTGG